AGACTGAGTTTGAATACTCAGTACTCACATACAAAGCTAGTCTTGGTGGCCTTGCACCTGTAGTCCTAGTACCGTGGAGGAAGAGCCAGGAAGATCCCTGGAGGTCCCTGGCCAGGTAGTGTTGCTAAATTGGAGAGTTCTCGGTTCAGTGAGAGATACTGACTCAAAAAATAAGGTGGAGAGTAAGACACCTGATGTTGACTTCTGGCCTCACATTCATTCAGGTACTCAAGCACACATACACAGACACACAAAGAATAAAAAGTTAAAAATAGCTATTTTCAAACAATTCAAATATATCTAATAAAGAAGCAAATAGAAATCAGTTCCACTCTTCTTAATCATCATTTCTATTTGCCTATTAGTCCTATTGACAAGTGTCTATGATTATCATATTATTTTATAATCCCAAAACAAATGCATCACATAGGACAAAGTGGCAAATCTTTTGCTCATTTTCTTTTCTTTTCTTTTTTTCTTTTTTGTTCTTTTTGAGAAAAGGTCTCCCTGTAGCCCCAACTGGCCTGGAACTTGCTACATAGACCAGACTGGTCTTGATCTCACAGGTATCCACCTGCCTCTGCCTTCTGAGTGCTGGGACTAAAGGTGTGTGCCACCACACCTGTTGTGCGTATTTTCTTGATTCACATATAAATCTCATCGTATTTAATGTTTATTTTCTGGAAGCTATCCTCATATTCTTTTTCAGATCTTCCACCGAATTAGCTTCCAGAGGAACACCAAGGCTTTAGGGAACTCCAAGGCTCTGCAGAAAATTAGGCAGATAGCTTACAAATAGCTCCTTTATTACTCAGTCTGTATCTCCTGTAAAATTTTTTCTTCAGTTTCCCCACATCATAATGTGAAGAGGGAAGACTGCACGAGATGAGCATGTGTAATCACTGCCGAAGCTTCTCTGCACATCCTGCTAGCCCTGTGTATTCAATGATTTTGTTCCTTTAAACTATAGATTAAATGAAGAAAGGAATTGTTTTTATTTTTCGGTATTATTTTGTGCCTTAAACTATGAGGTCATACTACTGTCAGGTTGGGTTTTGAATCCAGTATCCCTAACTCAAAATTCTCCAAAGGAGTTCTCTTCTCCAATGTGGGTCATTCAGAGATGTTCTAGTATTTCCCCACTGTCCTGTCTTGGAGACAACCATAAAACAGTTCCTGACCTACTTTGTCTGCTGATAGCAGTCGTAAGAACTTCTTCACTGAGGATGGTTCAGACTTCACAATGGGGAGGAAGGAATGCTAAGACATTATTTGTGTTTTTCCTCGCCAGTGTCTTAGCAATCATGCTATGCAGAGAAGTCTGTAATTTCTGGAAAGGACAAAGTTCAGAGAGCTTCTAAATAGCTGAACAAGCAGTGGGTCCTGGAGGATGCTGTACTCAGGGACGGCGTAGATCTCTACTGCTTCTCCCATATCTTGCTTGCCCTATGTGCTTCTGCATCTGTGTCCAATTCAAAGGGGCACTGTGGGAACCCTGATTTAAGTGGTCGGTCAGGAACATAGGTTGCAAAAGAGCTGGGGCTTGTGACTGGCATCTGGTGCAGCGGTCATCTTGGGCACTGATTTGATATTACCTCCAGGTAGATGGTGGCAGCCGTGGATTGAATTAGAGGGTGCCCAACTTGTTGGTGTCTACTCCTCCAGAACTTGCTGGTAGACAGAAACTCCTACCATTCAAGGTCACAGAAATGATCTGTGTTGAGAGTCTTTAGAAGAAACTGAGCTTCTTTCTATCTTCCGTAGTCTAATCTATTATACAGCAGACAATTTATTATTAATACATCTCATTAGGAGAAGGTATGCAGTTGTATGGATTCTGCGGCTTTTGTCTCAACTTTGCAAGGCAGTCACATTATTGTATCTTCTACAGGAAATGCTACAGACAGACTTAATTTCTTTCTTTCTGTTTTTTTTGTTTCTTCCCTTTAGTGCATTAGAGGAAAAGCTGCTTTTGAGCTAAAAAACATTAAACAAAAAATTAAGAAATGCTCATGCTTTGGAAGAAGTTACATTCATTTTGGACAAAATACATACTTCAAATCACAGTAATCACATTCTTCTTTGAGTCATTTTTTTTTAATTTAACACATAAAACAGGATGCTCATTCACCTTGACGTAAATTACACAGCTGATGCACAAGATAAAATGGAATTATACAAAAATATCAAACCTCTGACCTTAAGTCTGTGTACAGGATATACCACGCATTGGACTTTCAAAGCACTTTTTTACTCTCTCAGCTAACTCTAATTCTATCAGTTTATATGATAGAATGGTAGCAAATTTTATCTTTTTAAAATATGTTATTTATTTTATGTGTGAGTATATTGCCTGCATGTGGGTAAGTGCCTTCATGTTGTGAAATCCCCACAGCAGTCAGAAGAAGTTATTGGACCCCCTGGAACTGGAGTTATAGACCATTGTTAGCCACCATATGGGTGCTGGGAATCAAACCTGGGTCCTCTGTAAGAGCAGTCGGTGCTCTTAACTGCTGAGCCATCTCTCCAGCCCAGCAAATTTCATCTTAAAATGGGTTTAAATTGGGTGAGAAATAAATTACTACACAAAAAAGTTTGTGCTGTTTTGTTCTTAAATATGAGCAAAACATTCTCTCATAATGTTTTTGTAATAAGTCTATACACAGACCCGTAAGTTATTTATTTTGATGAGTTTGGTCTGAGGTAAGTCAGCAGAATGAGCAATGCAATATACTTTGTGTTAGATGATACAGAAATATGTGTTAGAAGCAACTGCGATAGATGTTTCTGGGCAGTAGTTACTAAATGCAATGTTTTTTTCTTTTTAATAAAATGGATACAATTGTACACACAGTCTAGGAAATGCTCTTCCAGCTTCACAGTAGTAACATACAACATGCCATTCCTACAAACCAGTGTTTCCTGATCCTGAAGCCAGAGCTTCTGCTGCCTCCTGAGTGAAGGCAGGAGGAATCTCCGGATTGAAACACTGTCATAAGCTCCTGCATGAAATAGTTTCAGAATGAAGAAGCTTTGAACTATTGCATTAGACAATTACTTTTACTTGAGTGCACTGTGTGTTAAACTCCAGAAAATTGGCCCTGGTTAATCTATAGGTAAGAATACTCTTTTAGTCTTATCAGTGCCAAGGATATGTGTGAGGACTGTGGGAGACACATGGAGTCTCAGGAAGCTTTGGGCATTTTGAGGAATTGGCTGTGCATATAGAAATAGGCAGTTTCATAGCCTTGCCAACCTCCAAGGTACTCCAAGGTGTGCCATGCCAAACACCTGACATTGGATCTTTGTAGCAGCTCCTTCTCTTTAGCTGCTATGTGGAGGGAAGGAAAAATAACATTCACTTTCCTTTTCCCACACCATCTCTCAAAAATCAGTGGTGAAGATGGCCAATGCCAATAGGGAATTGTTTAAGAACATAGTGGGTTTTCATTCTGGCGTCCTTTGGAAGATTTGAAATATGCAAAAGCTGAGCATAATCACAGTGCTGAGTGTCATTGGTCTCTGCTCTATCATTGTGATCCTTGTGATGTGACAAATAAAGGATTTCCAGGTCTTTGTTCACTGACAAAGGCAACATGCCACCACTCAACTTCCTGCAAGGGGCACAAGGTATAGAACAACTTCACTGAGGAAGCCCCAGATCAAAGCAAAGCATCTCTAGGACATGGCAGGGAAGAGAAGGCAGGGAGGGCTGCAAATATGCTCTCATTCTTGGTGCCCAACTTCCTAGCACTGAAATCCTCCAGTTGTGAAAGTCTTGTGTAAATTTCTAAATCCATTAGGTACTGGAGAAAGGTTTTGCTATATGTAAACAGCCATGTACACAAGGAGAGCTGATCTTAAATCAAACAGACAAAGGCACTGATGACAAGTCACCCTTGCATATTTTTAGTGCAATACAATTTCATCAAGTGCTTCTCACATGTGTCTGAGGCAGGAAGTTGGCTTTGCCTGTGAGAACAATGGGGGACTCTGGACTTAAGCTCAGACCCTTATCATGCCAGAAAGATCTCTTTTCATCAGTTAGGAACTGCACTTCTGGGTGACATATACCACAGAAGCCTCTGTATGCTACTTTGTTTTCTTCATGATTGATGGTTAAATCTCTTACTCTGAATTTCTAAATTTGAGGTAAAATTTTAATGTGAGAGTGAAAACACTGATTAATTCACAAGATTACAACGTTGCAACTTAATGCCATACACACACACACACACACACACACACACAACAGTGCTTCCATTTGGGGAACAGTGATATGGATACACTCTTTTCCATTACGTGGTGCTGGAGCTTGAACCTAGGGGTGTGCACATACTAACTGTGCACTCAACCACTGGGCTATATACCCAACCTAGCATATGGCCTTTTGTGATGTGCTTTGGGTTTCCTTTCACAGCAGACTTAATAGGCAGTTGTGGTTTGGAGACTTCTGTATAGATGGAGTTTGGGCACCATGGTCTGATTGGAAGTTAGTGCCCAAAGAACTCATTCTGCAGTTGTGTCTGTGTTCTATGCAACTTATTTGTACACTGTAGTTTAAAAATCACATCAGTGTGAGGATAAAGCCTCCCTTTTTCAGTTTTGAGATGATTCCCTTGGGTGAGGAGGATGAGGATTGTGAAACACTTATGGAGAGTCACTGAAGGCTCAAAGTCCTACAACTTCCCCAGAACTCCATTGAGGACAGTGGCTCATATGTTTGTAAACCTCTTAAGGAAGATGCTGCATCTCTGCAGTCCATTACATGGCATGATGCTGTGCCAGCCCTTTGGAGTGCCACTGAGGAAACTGAAATGGAAATCCTGTCTGAATGATCCATTCAACAAAGTTGGCATTCATAACAAACAGAGCACAAGCTACTCTAGTACAAGCTACTCTAGTAGCCTTCCTGAAAAATCCCTGTTTGAGGAGAATATTGATGGAGGAAAAGAGTGCTTGAGAGCTTTGGTAATAAATGAAGAGAGCATAGGATACCATTTGAACAAATTATTTGCCAGAAGCCACTTTATTAGACAACAGTATGCACCTGGTACACAAGACAGGCTCTGGGCCTGGGTCTTTGGTTTGCTCAGCATTGTGCAGAGCAGGATACACAGTTCGCATAGAACTGATGGTATGTTCGACAAAGATGATGTCATGGAAAGCACACTCCTTGGAAGCCGTGGTTGCCACTCACAGCACGTTAGCTCTGGTCCTACTAAGAACATAGACTAGACTTCCCACAGCCTGTGCTGCAGTGCAGTGCTGCTTATCACCAACCGTTTTGTTTCAGTGCAAATATGTCTGCTTTCCAATTGAGCTGAGATCTTGGGTATTTTTTAAAAAGAAAAAGTAGATACTTGTCTATATAAATATATGCATATTACTCATATATACATTTATAGGTAAAATTCTGGCTGCCTAAGCATCAAATTGTGTAAAAATATCTCTTCCCACAAGCCTCTTTTCAAGTATACTTATGATACAGAAAATATTTAGGGTCTAAATTGCCCACGAGCCTAGTGCTCAGAGGAAAAGTTTAGCAAATTGCATTATTTAAGTTTAAAATGGATAGCAGAAGTTAAAAATATCTGTAAAAGAAGACCTTCCACAATGTTGCACTCAGGCCTCTGAGTTCCTGGAGAAAGTGAAATGGCCTCTTTGTGCCTGCTGAATAGGTCTGGTTTTCACTGTGCGGCACATTTTGTGACTGCTTCTTTCAAGTCCTTCCTTCTTCTGCAAGTCCCTATCGCTTCATTCATATTAAAGGATGGTTATAGTTTTAAATATTGAAACTAAAGACTGAGCATTCTTGCACATCGTATCTTCTGGGATTGGCACGATGGGTATTTTCAGTGCAATTTGAAGTACTGTATTTTTAGGTATGCAGACTCAACACATTGATCTGTATTCTAGCCTACCAACCTTCCTGCTTATGTAGTATGCAGTCCATTGCAGGGGTGTGCTGCAGCCAGGTCATACTAGTTCATAAGAACTGACATACGTTTCTAGGAATTCTACAAGTCAAATAAGGTCACGTTAGACTGTCTGAAAACGGCTATGGAGAGAACATTTAAGTCACAGTAATCAGCAATTTGAATATTTTTCTTTTTGGAGAACAAGTTTTTGAATAAGTTATTAATGTTCTACTGTGAGTTTAATTAAGAAAAAGATTGCATTTATAGTTCGGTTCATAACGGAACCAACAGTGACAAAAACAATCAAAGGTACAAAGGCAGTAAGTGGCAATTCAGTTTAGTCCATAAGCTCATAAAGAATATGAAGTATCACTCATTTTTCTTATTGTTTTAAAATCACACCTAGCATATTTCTCAATCATTTACATGTTGTAGGAACATTTCTATAAAGCTAATTTGGGACATCTTCTGATATTTTGAAAATCAAAGTCTTTGCATTTATAATTTTTAGTTGCTGAAATACTAACTAAACCTAAATATTAATGAAAGAGAACACAGTATAAAAAGTGAAGAAATTAGGCTTTTGTTGCTCACATATGTTTGTGTGCTTTTTTTTTGGGTATACATGTCATTTGGTGGTACTGAAGTATTTTGCATTTAATTGATACATGTACATGTATGTGTGTGAATGCACGTACACATACTTACACAGACCTCAGCAAATTATAACAGCAGAGAAAGGGACTATCTGGTTCCTTAAATATTTTACTGATAACCAAGAATAACTCATGTTAGAAACTGTGGTAGGCAAATGGCTTTGGCAATTCCGTATCTAGCTAAGCAGCTTTTTATCTAGCTAAACAGCTCTTTCCTTTCTTAAGAGCTCAAAATGTCCTCGTTTCTGTCTTCCCTCCTTGGCTTAGTAACATGTATAGTTTAGATACACAAACTCAGTTCACTGTGCATAGTTCAGCATCTGACAGTCGCAGATGTCAAAGATGAATTTAAGTCTATCTGCCGAATTTCATTCTCCAAGAGCTGCTGAGCAGGTGAGTGCTAGAGGTGGGCACCATGGTAACTGAGTAAGAGACACCTGAGTTCTGTTGGGGAAAAGGAGCAGGCAGAAGGAATGGCTTCTGAAGCTGACAGCGACCATGAGAATGAAGGACACGTCTTCTTTCTTCCAGCTTTCTTTCCACTTTCTTCCAGCCAGGGATGACCTTGGCATTGTTAGGTTCACGCCTTAGGCCTTCAGGATCTTAGTTGTAGAGCTGGAGAGCCAAGAGGTAGGCTAAATCTGAGCCTTAAGATAATTCTTTAGAAATAAGTTTTTAAAAATCAAACCAACAGCACTTAACTTCTCTGTTGACTTGCTGTGTTTTGAGGAAAGCAGAGTCCAGCACTTTCTGGGTATTGACAGGTTCAGGTCTTGCAATGGGAAATCAAGTGGAGCAATGGGGTTCTGGCAGGAGTATCTGCAAAGTTTCCAGCAGTAGTTCACACATACAGATATTGTACATTCATTCATTGTTATTCATCTTAGAAATGGAGCAAACTGGCAGCTCATGTTACAGCGGAGTCCAGAGACCTAAAATGATTACTTCAGGAACAAAGAAGTTCATATAAAAGAGTCACGCCTTTCTGTTGGTTTAATTTTTAAACTAGAAATTCTTTAAACTACATTTCTGGGGTTCTACTTAATGTTGTTGAGTTCTTGGTAAAATACAATACAGAAAGGGGATACTTCCTTTTCATAAAAATAAGAAATGTGTTTGGGAAATTAAATACTTCAAAAAATTTAAAAATAAACTCTCACAGCTTGGGGGTTTGAATGAACCCTGTACAAAGTAGTTGAGAAAGCTCCAACTTCATGTAACATCTTAGAAACCGAACAGCTGCCTAGCAAAGATGATTTCAGCTGCCCAGGGCCAATGGATCTTTGCCGCCATGTTCCGTTCAGAATCCATTTGGGCATATCTGCACACAATGTGGCTTTTCATGGCAGAACTCTGTAATGCTACACAAAACTGCGTTAGGTGTCTTTTCATTCTTTCTTTATAAAAGAGTTGTGTTTTAGAGCTCAATATAAAAATTAAACACTTTTGCTTTTTGTAAAAGTTTAAATTAATAGGTTCAGTGCACTTGTTTTTAAATAATGACTCTATTTTGACTGTCTATCCTATATAGAATTTAAGCTCAATTGCACTATTTTCTAATGACATTATTTGCACCTACAGAACCCAAGACAGAGTTAATGAATGTGTTCTCTGTGATTTATTGTATTTTTAGTCCATATTGTATATGGACTCTACAAGGGCATTCTTTTTTTTTTTTCTTTTGAATTGGGAGATCCTTTTCACTCCCTTTCTTTGTTGGCATTTACAAATGCTGTGTCATTTTCAAAGTGTAATCAAGGGAAAAATGCATAATTTAGATTGTGTTGAAAGTAACTACTTCAATGAACATAAAACTCTTTTTTGTGAATTTCTTAAATACTTTGTGTAACATTTTTAACATACAAACATTTGTATTGATGATTCTTCTTTAAAACACTTTGCAATTTTACTTACTCAACAAAAATGAGTAATTATTAAAAATAGTTTTCATCACTTTCTAAAATATATGTTTGGGTACTGTTTTTGAAGCAGGTTTGATCTGTCATTTTCCAAGTAATTAACCCCAGAAGGATGATGGGTTTTATAGAGTCACATGACTATGTCCTTGATATTGTTTATGAATTTCTTGTCACATGTCTGAGGCAAACCTGAGGATAGATCATTGAGTGATTGCTACTGTTTCTCTTGTCAGGCATTTCATTTCTCCATTTTCTTCTTTAGCGGCCTTTTGAAAAATCCAATCTGTTGAGTAAATATAATAAAATTAATTATTTTAATTTAGGTAATAAATACTAGTCTCTTTGGATAGAATCTAATTTAACAATACTGAAAACCTGGGCATACAACTCATTTGGATAACTAAGAGGCATTTTTTAATTGACCATTTAATATTGAATGCTAACTAATGACATTCATCAAATTGCTACTTTACCTTTGGCTTTAATATTGGTTAAATATATCCTGTTAAAAATCATGCATGTGTTAAGCAAACAGCTCTGGAAAATACTTTGTGAGATGAATAAACTTCAGCTGGCCGATACTGTTTCTACTTTGTCATCATCTTTTTTATCCCCTAAGGATATGACAGAGAATTTTTTTCATCAAATAACTGATGATCTCAAGTTGAAGTTATTACAGTCCACAAAGAATGTAACTGCGCAGGGCATAGGAGAGATGTCAGAATTGTCTGGATAACGTGTCAGAACATTTGCACAGAGGCTTTCTAGAAGACTCTTGAAAGACTCCATGCTATTTAATTGTGAAAATAACCATTCATTGCAAGAAAAAAAAAATCACAGAGTTGTGAACGTGAGTCACATTTCATTACTATTAGTCCTGTGGAACATTGATAAATGTTCTCATTTCCATATTTGTTTCATATTATACAGAATAACAAAAATAATATGGAGCTGGATAAGACTTTTGCAGTGACCTAATCTTATTTAAAATTTTATTAAATAGGGGCTGGAGAGATGGCTCAGTGGTTAAGAACACTGGTTGTTCTTGCAGAAGACCCAAGCCCGAATCCCAGCACCCACATGGCAACTGGTGCACTTACCTACATGCAGGCAATACATGCATACACATAAAATTAAATAAATAAATGAAAATTTTAAAAAAGTTTTAAAATTTTATTAAACAAATTAAATCTCATTTTAATAATTTAATCTTATTTAAATCTAATTCTTTTTTTAAAAAGAACCTAAGGATCCTAGGGAAGCATCTTTTTGAATCTGCATGGATAATTTTTTTATTAAATTTGATAGTTGACTAAAATAGATCAAACAAAGGCAGTGAGTTAATTATTTGAAAATGTGTTGCATCCATGTCATTTTCATCAGAAAGTTATGTGAGGTAATAAACACACATATAGTGGTGGTGGGGGGCAGTGTGGGTATGGAAGTCAGAGGTTAAACTTGGATGTCCTTCCTTAGGAGCTATCCACCTTGTATTTTGAAACAGCTTGGGACTCAACCATTAGGCTACCCTGAATGGCCAATGGTCCACAGGGATCTTTATGTTTCCACATAGACATATGGGAATCTTATGTATCCCCAGTGCTGGGATCATAAGCACATGCCACCATACCTAGTGTTTTTTTGTTTTGTTTTGTTTTTTCTTTAAAAAAAACATAGGTACTGGGGGAACTCCCATGCTTGTCAGGCAAGTGCTTTCCTGGCTCAGTTAGTTACCTCCTCAGTCTGAGATACACATCTTATAGTACAATGATTGAGCACTTGAGTGCTTAGAGGGGCCAGACATAAGAAATAAGTATTTCAGAGTTAGAGAAATTCTGGTCAGGGATCTTGTCTTCCCCATGTTAAAATTGCGTTGGTAGCAAATGAGGAAGGGTGATAAAAGAACAAATGTACATGGAGACAGCCATGAATTTGTCTTTTCCTGGACACCAACTCCCCTTCAGGGTCAGCCCTTTTGATCTTTGGCAACTGGAGAAGCGCTGACTTCACAAGCCACTCTGCTCCCCACCAGGGTCCATATGCCTCAGGTCTGTTGAAAGCAAATCAGCAGAGGGCTTCCCAGAATAGGCTCTCCTTCCCCTCACACGCCTCGCTGTTTCTTTTCATCTGGCGTTTGTATTCTTTATCTTGAATATCCGCCTTTGAAACTGAATTTCTGTTATCTAAACTTTTCCACTTGACAAATTTTCTGAAGGTTAGTTTCTGTCTTTTTTTTAAAAGGGAATATGGGGGGCTGGAGAGATGGCTCAGCAGTTAAGAACACTGCTTGTTCTTGCAGAAGACCTGGGTTCGAATCCCAGCACCCACATGGCAGCTGACAACTGTCTATAACTCCAGTCCTAGGGGATCCGATAGCCTCTTCTGACATCCGTGGGCATTGCATGACACGGGTGCACTTACCCAGATGCAGGCAATAGATGCATACACATAAAATAAAAATAATAAATAAAAAAATTAAAAAAATAAAATAAAAGGGAAGATGGGTATTTCATATAGAAAATTAAGAGAATATAATTTATACCCAGCTGCAAACTAGACTGAGACAATCTTAGCTAAGGTTTCAAATAAAAAGGTAAGTTTGAAGCTCCCATATTTTCTTTCAAGTATTTGCTTTTCTGTTTTAACTTCTGCATTTAAATTATCTTCTTTATACTTACCTGGTTCAAAACCCTATGGCAAATGGAATGATTTGCAGGTGATCAATGTATAATATGGAAGAGATGTTGAATAAATAAACTAATACCAGTATTTAAAGACTGAAAAGTGCTGAGGTACTACAATATCTCCCCTACCCCCCGCATCAACAAGCCCCAACTGGATCCTGAAACATGACAGTACAAAGCCCCATATAGGCTGATTTTTCTTCTATGTGCATATGTTGATAAAGTTTATGTAGGTTAGTTACAGTAAGATAGTAACAATAATAAATAATCAAATAGAACCATTATAACATTGTGTTGTAATAAAAGTATGTGAACATGCTTTTTTCTTAAAGCATCTTATTGTATTATATTTTTATCTATTTATTCATTTTTTAAATTTTTGTGGTCTTTTGAGACAGGGTCTCCCTGTAGCCCCAGCTGTCCTGGAACTTGCTATGTAGACCAGGTTGGCCTGGATCTCACAGAAATTTGCCTGCCTTTGTCTCCTGAGCACTGAAACTAAAGGCATGAACTACCACGCCTGGCCTGTATTATATTTTTAAATTACAGCTGACTAGATATTAGAACTGTTCATAGAGAAACTGTGAATAAGAGGGAACTACCCTATCCCTTTTCAGTAAATTATACTGGATGAGGAACAGGCTGTAAGATGAATGACTCATCAGTGGTAGGCCACTGTGGATCAGGTTAGGAGAAGCATGTTCTGCTTTCCTATAATTTCCTGTGGACTCTGTGATTCTGTTTTATTGGTTATACTGAATCAGACCAAGGACTGCCTCCCATTCTAAAACCAAATATTTTATATATTTCAAAGAACTCATGACCTTTTGCCGATACTGTACAGCAATGCAATCTATTAAAAAAGACATAGGCTTTAGAGATCAATTGTTGATTGAATCTGATTGTTTATTGGTTGATAATCTTGGGAGATTTCTTAGCTAGTTTACCTTTGTTTTAATGTCTATGAATGTAAAACACAGTTACAAAACATGGTTGCAAAAGTTGTTCTAAGGACAGACAGGTGGCAGTTAATGATGTTAGCACAGGACTCAAAACCTTATTCTGAACGTTACTAGCTTTGTGGCCCTGGGAAACATGCAAAACTTCTTTGTACATCTGTTTCCTCATTTACAAACTGAGGTTCATAACAGTGAGACTGCTTGAAGGAAGGGCGCCTCACACAGTTTCTCGTCTACAGTAAGCAACTACTAAGAGTTGGTCAGAGTTCCAACTCTACCTTAAAATCAAAGTTCTGATTGTGAGCCCTCTCACTAAGGTGTCTGAACTAACTCAATGTACTTGCCAAGACAGCCCAAAATTTGTTAAATGACCTTTTGGGGGTGGTAAAAAGAAGATCTTATAAGCCATAAGTATGTATCAACAGAACATATACTAGAAAAGTATGTTTACTTTTACATTTATGCTTTTTCAGACCAGATATGAAAAACCAGGTGGATGAAACTTCCTTTTTGCTTGTTTATTTTAAACAGAGGTATGAGGCCAGGGAGAACCCGTCCAAATATCAGTTCTGGCTTTCCTCTTATCTTTCCTAATAGTTTTAAGATCATTCAGACAAGTCAATGCTTGCACTAGAAGACCATTCTGGGAGGAATCATCAGGAGCAGTTTGTATTAGAGGTACTGCTAAGGAAAAGAAAACATGGCCTGCATTTCAGGCACTAGGGATAAACTAGGCCTTGGATACCACGGTGTGGCAAAGCCAGGTATTACAGTGAGCACTTCAGAGGAAGAACAGATTCCAAATGTGAATTCTGTCTTGCTGATTTTGCTGGGGAAAGATCATGGATTCTATTTATGGAATTCAATAACAACTTGTTCATATTCTCCTTCAAGGAAATCTCCCAAAGAGGAAGTTCACCATTATGGAAGAGTCAGAAAGGATGGTAACAGCTGTAATTCCAGGAAAGAAAACTGCTATATAAACTATTTGGCTTAATAATCCTGTTGTACATGTATTAAAAAATGAATATGTGGTCACATCTATATTTTAATATAAACAGTTTAACCAAACAGTGGGTAAAACATAGGAATATGTTATGCTAGAATAAATTTTAACTTCATATTTAATTGGAAAAAAGCATTAAATTTTCTTTACTTTTTTAAAAAGTTAAAATTTAACTTTTCTATGGAATTTTATTCTCTATTCAACTCCTCCTAAAAGCTATCATAACATTTTGTCTGAAAAATGATAAAGACGTTTAATAATTCTTACATTTTTCATCTTAAGCAAAATGTCTCTATAAATATCCAGATTAAACTGACAGAAAATAAGTTACCACTCAGTGTTACAAAAGGATTTGACATAGAAGTCTATGAACTTTAAAATTTTCCTTTTATCGACCAATTAGTAAATTATTTATTCCTTACACAGCCACACAATCATTGCATAAAATATGATGTATTTGTTTATGCACTAAAGAAGCATTTGCTCTTTAAGACACAGAGCGGTGTGGCTAGTGCAAGGTTAACTTCAATCATGAATCTATCCCTTGTATGTCCTTAAGTTGATATAGGAATACAAACTTTACTTTTGCTATAAAATGAGGTTTTGGTTTTTCTTAATTATAAAAGTCAGTACATATACATATTTAACTTTGAAACATTAACTGTTCCTCGATAATCCTTACTTTCGAAGAGCTCTTCCAGGAATTTTGGATATATGTATCCCCAAATATGTCTAAGTTACAGTTTTTTCCTTTAAAAATGAGACATTGTGTAGTATTAAATTGTATCTTGGTTATCACTTCAGTGTAATAATACTATATTCCAAAGCATTGATAGAGCATTTATTTCACTTGCTGTTGGCAGTTGGAATAAAGACAGCGGGGAAGGTGGTGCTTACCTTCCACAGTGCTAGGATGAGCAGCATTAACAGCAGTAGTCCAGCAAAGGCACTCAGGAGGATTACCCACAAGGGCACTCTGCCTGGGATCCCATCTTTGGATATTTGAATAGCCAGCTGAAAATTATTAAACAAGGTTGTTAATACTGATAACCACCTCGTAGAACTCCCAGAATACCCAGTTCTTGTAAGCTATGCTTTTCTAGCAATATGTGTAATTAATCTCATTTATATGCAAAGAAAACATTAGGTTTACATTTGAAAATGCCTTTCATTTAATGTAAATATCTAACTATATCAAATTTATATTACCAAAAAATTAATCTTTCAGAACTCTGTGCAAAAAGAGCAAACTGTCAGTGAATCAGGATGCTGAGGGTAGGAATGGATTTCTAACTCAGAGAAAACCGAAGCAGTCTATGTTTTGAAGATTAATTATTAAACTTTGTTTTTTATCACAATAGCATCAATTGAGGCTGGGATGTGACAGTTGTTAAAATAAAAACTTGAATAGGTCTCCTTGTTCTAATTAAAATATATTACAATTCTAATATTATAAAAATATACCTTTCATACAAATGCATGCAAAACACACATATCCTCATGAGCATAAATACATGTGTCTATGTAGATCCACTCCAATGTGATGTTCATGTTCCCACACTGTCTGTTCCAGGTGACTGATCTCAGTGACCTATATGTTGAGTTTTAACCAAAATACAATTATGAAATGGAGTTCTTTCAGTGTTCTTGTTAGTCATGCTCTCTTGGGGTGGTACCAAACTTCAGTGAAACTGTTACGATCTTTGTCACATCCATTGCTATTGGAAAAGAATTAATTTAGGGTATTTATGACCAATAATGGTTTAAGTTTCTGTATTTGTCTTTAACTTGATTTTAATTTCTTAATCTAAAAGGGGCATTGGGTAGGAAAGGAAACTTCTAACAGGAGATATTTTCTTATAGTGGATAATGATCAGTACTCCTCAATCACTCCTGTGGGCCACAGCTAATGCATCAGAAACAAAATTGGCAAGAACAGAGAGAAACACAGACTCCTACTATTAATGCAGACTTGGAACACATCTAAAACAATTCCCCGAACTTATTGACATCAAACTGGAGTCCAGATAAGATTTGTGACTACTACAAGATTACACAGTTGCAAAATGGTTGCTTTTAGTAATTTTGTTGATATAGATTTATTTTCCTTTAGGATCGAATGTAGTTTTAACTATTTCCAGGGAAACTTTAAAGTAGCATTTAGGAGAAACAAAACTACATATTTAAAACTTCAACAATATTTTTGGGAATCAAAAGCACTTTGTTCTAATGGAATCCATATGACATTTTCCAGATTTCGGTGATTTGTCTTTCTTGTATGTGGTGGAGTTTTAGGTTTGCATTTACAAGTGAAGCATTCTTTATAATGTAGTGAGCCATTATGTAGATGTATTTTTTTAAGGTGTGTTCTTATCTGAGACCACTGACACTAGAATAGTTTGAAATAGGAAGTTTTACAAGATCATTTTGTAATGTAGCAGTTTCCTCTAAGACATTCCATCTTGGAGGGAAGCTCATTAAGACAGGGGATGTTCTAAGGGAAGGTGCAACATTCCATCCTGAAGGGATGCTCCTCAGCTACAGAAAGTAAAGAAAGCAATAGCTTCAGGAAGTCCCTGAAACTGAGCAGATTCCCTAGACTCCTCCCTCCCCAAGCATATAGAAGCCCTACAGACTGCTGAGAGAGACTCGCAACAGCTGAGCTGCCTGAAAGAGGCAGATCAGCCAGGCTACCAAGAAGCAGAAAGGACCAGCCAAATTGCCTAGAAAAGGCCCTCTCCAACCTTTTGAGCTGCCTGAAGATTATGCAATGTTCTCCAGGTTTCTTGCTTTTATGAGCTGCTGCCCATGCTGGGGTGGGCTTTGGGTGCAGCTGTCTTTGAGCTGGTTCTGCTCCTATAGGTAACCCCTCATCCATATTCCTGTAACCCCCCAAAACTCCTAGGTATACCAAAGTGGACTTTGGTGGGATCCTTACTTTGGTCAGTGGTGGTTCCTGACATTTGTTCACATTTCCCAGAAACTGTGTCCTAAACACATCTGAACATTAGAGAGATTCCAAAGAGAATTTTACATCTCACAAGGTGTGGCTCACATGATGGGATATTTAAATTCTCCCAGGCCAACATGAGAAACTATGTTTATGTAAGTAGTTAAAGTAAAAAATTTCACATGCATTTCTGCACAATGCACAGGCATTTTCTGTCAGCAGTTATTAAAAGTTTGCTGTTCAGATGTCAGCTGCATTTTATAATATTGGTTTATAAGGAGGAAGGTTACAAGAGCCTTATTTATTAACAAGAAGAAAATGAAAGCATTCAGTTACTGTGATAGTTAGAAGCAATAAAGACAGAGTGTCAAGCTAATTGTAAATATCGTGATTCTCCTAGTTTCTAAGGAAGAAGAGTAAGCCTGGAATCACATTAGAAGCTAATTTAAACTAAAGCAAATAGCATCTGACACTGAGCATCAAATCATAAAATATCACTTAGACGAGTTTGGGAGTGAAATGCGTTTTCAGAACTTGAAGCTGTACTTACCTCTCGCTTTTGGTTGCTGCTGCTTAAAATCAAAGATGAGTTTTCACTCTGAAGTTCTCCCCTTATAGTAAGATTCAAACTGGAAAAATGTGCCTGAAAAGCAGGCAGGGTTTGTTAGTAACATGCTATGTTAATTAAGACAAGAAGTAGTCATGTCTGAGGAGGACACATATTAAACCCGAGATTTTTCTGAGATTAATATCACTGGTTTTGTTAACTTCTAAATGGAACCAGTAGCATCAGCTGATGGCTGAGTGCCGTTCTGTTTCCTGTGTGCCCCTGCATCCCAAATTGTCATTTAGATCCTTGTGACAGGATGGGAAAAATTCAGAATAATTTATACTCTCAGTTTTTTCTTGGAAAAACCACCTTTTATGTATCTAGGCATGAGGTAGCTATATTAGGACAA